ACACACACACACACACACACACACACACACACACACACAGAGTTATGGTTATGTGTTGATGAGGTGACTACAACTTACAGCGACCCTGTACACAACAGCTCTGAACCCTATCCTATCCTGAGCCAGTCTGTCTCCAATACGCATACACCCTTTACACCAGTTACTGTGTCAATTCATTTCATCCAGGGTCTTCCTCTCCTGTGCTGTCACTCTACCCTTCCAAGCATGATGTCCTTTTCCAAAGACTGGTCTCTCCTGGCAACATACCCAAAGTATGTGAGATGGAGGTTCAAAATCCTTGCCTCCAAGAAACAGTTTAGTTCCACTCTCTCCAGAACAGATCTATTTATTCTCTTGGTAGCCCATAGCATGTTCAATACCATTCTCTAGCACCGTAACTCGAAGACATTGATTCTTCTTCTGTCATCCTTAGTCACGGTCCAGCTCTCTGATGCATAGCTAAGTAATTGCAAAGACCTTGGCTTGGATCAGGCACACCTTAGACTCCAGACTGATGTCGTTGTTCTTCAGCACTCTGGAGAGGTCCCCAACAACAGATTTTCCTAATAGAAGCAATCTTTTGATACTCTGACTGCGGTGCCAAAAGTGTTAATTTGGGAACCATGCAATGCTGTCGACTGAGGGTAAAGAACAAAAAATGAGACAGAACACCAAAAATGTATAAGTAAATAGAGAGGTAAAGGAGGGGGCAAGCAGTCCCAGTTTGAACTGAAGCCCGGAACCAAGCTTCCCTGTGCCTTTACTGAAAATTGCCAGGGAGCAAATCACAAAGAGAATTCTATGCAAATGAAGCTTCGGGGGGGGGGGGGGGGGGGGGGGGGGGGGGGGGGGGGGGGGGGGGGGGGGGGGGGGGGGGGGGGGGGGGGGGGGGGGGGGGGGGGGTTTACCTCCCCAACCATTACAAGAGAAATTATCTTAAGTTTACAATGTTGAATACAATGAAGCATTACAATTATATTAAAAAGACACAATCATTGTAAAAGTAATAGAAATTAAATGCATGTACTCTAAACTGGGAAATTACAGGATAGATAAATTGCATTGCACATTAGTTGTGGGGTTTTTTAAAAAATTTTGCTCTTTCTACTGAAAATCTTATGCTTGACTAAGGAGGGAGGGGTTAGCAAATATAAGAACCATGTAAACACTGAAGGTTTGCCTTAGTGCCTACCCCTGTAAACATCTAAAGTCTGCCTTAGCATTTAAGGGTGAATTCCAGCTTGTATTCACACCTCCCTCAAATCCTGATACAGCATTTGGTTTATTATAACTATTTAGAATAATTTGGCTCCCCACATTTCCCCTCATTTGTTTTTATAATTATGTTGTCAGCTAGACGACCACAGTTTCTTCTCTTCTTTGAGTCATTCTTGTTTTTGTTCTCTCCACAACAAACAAATATAACATATTAAGAAAAATAAGCTCACAAAAATACTTCCAAAAATGTCCATATGATCAGAAAAGGATTCAGGTTGTATATTCCTTCACTATTCCTTGTGGAATACCTATGTTGTTAAAATAATCCAATTGCTTAGCAAAATCAGAATGAGTCTGAGCATGTAATTTCAGTATATCATCTTTGAAATTACGGGGATTCATTCTATTCAGTATCATTCTACTTTACTGGGGTAACACAAAACTGTATAGTATTCCAATCATATTTTAATTTTACTTGCCTTGAAAAGACTAACTTTTCAGAATCTTAATACCATGTTTTCACATAAACAGGTTTAAATACTAGATGTAAAGCCAAGCCAGCTGTAGTAGCTGTGGCAGTAATAGCGATACTTCCCAAAACTAACGTTATGCCCAACAGCTGGTATTATCTCCCATTCTACTTATCCATTCTGCAACTCCGACCTTGTCGGAGTATGGCCTCTTCAGCTCATCTGGGGTTTGTCTCTGGATGGCACCCCAAGCGTTTCTGAGCCTGTAGAGATATAAGCAAATCCTCGATCCCTCCTAATAACAAATACCTTTTCCCATTCATTAGTTAGAGGCTCCTTATAATATATAGGTTGACTCAATTCTTTGTTGTTGTTGTTGTT